GTTTCCACTTTTGACATGAAGGCGATGGCTAAGCTGGGTGCTAGTCTTTGCCACATTGCCAATCCTCTAATTTATGCAAAATATCCTTCCGACCACCTAAATTTCGAACAGCCCAAGCATGACTTAAGGATTGTGATAAGCTGTTGGGCATTAAAGCAAACATACCTATTCTTTCTATGCTTTCTCTTAGTCATTCACGAGTGGCTTGTATTGCGACGTCATTTGAGACGTTTGTATAGAGCGCTGTAACATCAAGCGACTCCATTACATACGTATGATTTACACACTCATTTTTAAGGTGTTCTACGAATGTATTGGTGTCTGGGAAATGGGTTGGTATGAACTTTGGTGCCAAGGAACCATGTAATCCTATCCGTCGGGCCGCCCACACAGCTAATGATTAGTCTAACTTGAACGTAGAAGTATCGATAGACCCAAAATCATTAGTAGAAAGTATATGTTTTAATAAGTGTGTATAGGACGAGGCAAGCTAGTAATTCACTTTTGAGTCGACGGACAAGTGATAGTTGTAAACCCGCAGCTTTTGCCATTCGGACCCATTCTTGATTGAATTTTCGGTCTTTCGATTTATATTCCTCTTCAGAGGAAGGTCGATAGAGAGAAGAATCCTGGAGATAATTCTCTGTTATATCAACATCCATGTGACGAGGAATAACTACAAATTTCCCACCCTCATCGCTAATAGATAACCGGATGTATTTTGAGTTTATCAGCTCTCGAACTTGTCTCATACCATGTTTTTGTTTGCTACTTAGATTTGAGCTAAATTTGTTTCGTCGGTAGCGACTAAATACGTGGAAAAGTTCTTTCGAAAATGCACGTAAAATTGAGTCAATTTTGCTATCAGGTTGTTGCATTTGAAGAACGTTCGTGGAAAAGGTGGTGGTGGTAATGTTGCCTCTCTACGTTGTACTAGATCTAATCTTTCTTGCTTTGCTTTGTAACGGAGTTGATCTAGGACTTCGTCCAAATTACAAGTGACAGCGCGCAGAGCTGTTCTGGATAGGGGTTGTGCAGAGGAAAAGCCTGGCCCCAATTCTAATAGTGATTGCGCACTATCCGTAAGGGTTGTACCCCCGAATATGGTAATTAATGAGGACTTTGCCGCGTCTTTTATCTTAGATTCTCTTTCAAACTTGCCAGAGACGTGGTTTCTTCTAGTTTTTGAGCCTAAATTTGAATATGAATTTTGTTTCCGTAGCAGATTTTCAAAATTTCCTTGTAACTTATCTTTTAAGTCATATCGATTATCGTTACAAATAGACGTAGATTCATCAACTATTCTTTTCAAAAAAATTCCTATCCAAATACCGAGCAAAGATGTTCTTAATAGACGCATTTTTCGAAAGTGAAAATTATTGAGTTTTTGTATTTTGTAAACAAATGCGTAATAAACGCAAGTGAATGTTCAGTATTTGGTGCGAATCATTTGTTAAGCCGAACATTTCAAGTAATTTTCTATGTTTGATGACATCAGGAATAACTTTGTTTTTTATGCAGCGGCTTCCCTTCTCAAACGTTCAAGTTCAACTCAATGAAAGTGGCTACAATACAAAATGGTATCGCAAGTCTAGTAACAAAAATATCTTGGTGCACTATCTTTCTTCCCATCCTTTACATACTAAAAAAGCACTTATCCGAAATATGTAACGAACAATTAACGATTAACGATTAAGTGTTTGCACGGGAGACGATGAAGGAAGGGAATCAATAGACTCAGCGCGACAAGTAACCATTTTTAATGGGTACAAAGAAAAATTATCAGCTAACGTTAGGCCGAAAAGGAGCGAAAAGCTTCGCAGTGAACAAGGGTACCTCTCATACTACATTTCATAACAAACAAAGTAAGTACCGCTATTAGAAGAGTCTAAAAAACAGCAGTCTAGAAGATTCTATTGGAATTGTAGTAATTTCCCCTAAAACACTGCGTCTTCAATTAGTCCGAAACCGCTTATATGACCGTCTACGTAATACAAAAGACTGCGTTATTTGTCCCAACGGTAGAGAAGGCGACTGCTTGAGCGTAGGTACATTATACCCTATCTCTTGTGAACAAGCGGTGACGAATACATTGGCGAAAAAGGCAGACCACATCCGCATAGAAGGACACCTAGATGGGAAAACAAAGAAAGACCCAAATAAACCTCTAGGCACACACAGAATACAAAGGCACAACGATGACGACTTCGAGGTGGTAGTTGAAATCCTTAGGCACGAATCGAAAATTTTCGGATAAATTCCAGAAACGCGCAAATGAACAAGAAGGTTAACTGTCTTAACATAACCAACCACATGGCACCTTATCTCAGACTGATTTTCTAGTCTAGGTTTCAGCTGACATCTACCGCTAATTTGACCTAATGACATTGGGGGCGAGTACATACGTCACCTTGCGCTAACAACATAAGTTGTCCCTGGACTAGATCACAGAGTAGTTTTCCCTCGATCCATTATCGCTTAATAATGCTCTAGATTTCATTTTTCCACAATACATAGTCATATAAGTAACGTTACAATGAATAATACGTTAAGGCTCTGAAGAAGGCGTATTTGCTGAAACGTCAGCCACAAGCAACTAAGAAAACCCCTCCACCGAAAAGAAGGACAATCGATCGGGAAAAAGATACCAACCTCGTGAAGCTTCACATAAAGATTAGTTCTTAGGCTTTTTTTGTCATTTCAAGAAATCTATTTATTTCTCCGGCGCGTTTCAAGCTCTCCAGAGCCGATTGATTCAAGGCGTCAGCGAAAGAAGCAAATAATTTTTTCCATCAACTTCGTGCTTGCGCTCAATCACCAAAAAATATGTGATGATTTGTAATGCCGAAGTTGAAGTCGGTAACTCAAATTGTTCTAGTTTGAGCAGCAAAAGGAGAAAGATGTCGAGGCTCTAATGCATGAAGGTAAATTCTACTTGCGAAGTTGTGTAGCATAAATGCGGTGCGAGTAAAAGAAAACTATGATAAAGTTACGCAGTAATAACAACCTTTGAAGGAAGATGGAATGTTTTGGAAGGAATTTCTACGACCGTCGCCCTCTGTTATCACAACTGATTTGAAGAAGATGGAAAACACCTACAGAGAAGATAGGAAAACATATAAAAATCACAGACGGCTGTAACCTTGCAACGGCGACAAGAGAAAACAGGAATACTTGGAGGACAATTCATCAAACTGCCGTTCTCTCTCATCAGAATTTATTTGAGAAAAATGGTAAATGCCTGCAAATGCATGACTTTTTTCATGAAAACAAAGCTGAATGACCTCGATTACTATCAGACAATCATTCTAGTTGAACGTTAACCAAAACTTTGACCAACGCTGTCAGTGTTAAGAGAATTTTGAGTGAAAGACAACAAAGCAAGCAATGAGGTCATTTTCTTCTATACTAGCAAGGAAACAGATAACAGTTTTGCGACGTGATTGCACGACTACGCGACTGTATTCATGCTGACTAAGAGTAAAAGTCGAAAGTAGATGAACGGCAGCCGTGCCACTGCAATTTGCTTATGACATCGTCTATACAAAACTCAAGCTCTGCAGAAGGAATATGAACGCCTGTGTAAAGATAGTTTTCCGGAGAAATTAGATTACTGTCAATGGGCCGGATTCCTCCAGGGTCACCAACTGAGTAGTTGAGTCCAGCGATAAGTCGGAGAAAAAAAACGGTTATAGAACAAAGGAAAGAAAGTATAGAAGCGGCAAAAGAGAAGGAAGACGAACTCTTGTCCCCTCACTAGCCGTGCAATTTCACGCATTTTTCAGCTAGTGACACGTTGAGATTCCTAAGGTGGTCATACCAGCCACAAGGTTCCTTAATTTGGAGATTTCGAAATTTCGTTATATGATTCGGTTTTTCCCCGCGATCTGACGATTTTCTGCCGTTCTCTTACCATGTGTAGGCTCTACGTTCCTCTACATACCCATCCTTGCCTTTGGTACATATACTCCTTCTACACGCAATGAAGAAGTTCTTATCCACCATGCAGCACGAACTTGATGAGGTTGTACAATTTTTGCTAGTGATGTTTTCTCTACCGTGTGGTTTCAATGTCGTCTCATTCCATACAATAGCCGAAAGTCAACCTAGCGATTAAAAAATCAGAAACAACTAGCAGCTTGTTAGAAATGACGATGCATACTGCATGCGACAAGAGTTCACAGAGGTGAATGTAGTTGTTGCCTCTTCACTAGCCACACTTTGTGGACAATATATGCCCTTCTGACAAAAATAGTCTCTCGTCGTAGAACGAGACAACAAATGATAGATGACTGATGATACACTCAACCACCAGCGAACTGCGCTTCGTCATTCTACATTGGAAAAACCTATTAGTTGATTACAGATAGTGTCGAAAAAATTTGTGTACATCAGAATAAATCACCGGAAAGAAGCAATCCCCATAAAAGTCACATCAGCAGCTAAGTACTACTACAAAAGGACCACATATCTCGCATGTGATTAGAGTCGACTCAGCGCTAAATTTCAAGTGATAGTTTCCCAGGAGCGACAATTTAATAGGTCGGAGAAAAAGTTCTGAGAAGATGCTTGTAATTTTTGGATATCAGCCACTTTTGTGTTTTTGAGCTCATTTGAAAGGCCGTCTTCTCCCGCATTGATTGGTACATAACTTATCAACTCATTTCAAGACGGAGTGAACAAGCGAGCAAATTAGGTTGTTGATGATGCACGAATGACTGTTGGGTTCAAATGTAACGGTTGCAAGTGAACGCATGGATCTGGTTTAGGGCGAAGACACAGTTGGTTCATTACTACTACCATTACTATTAGTTTTGCCTTTGTTCGGCTGTAATAAATGCATGAATAAATGTTTTATAAGCATTTTCCCAGAACTTTTTCCTCAACCTATTATCAACTTTGACATACATTGAATAATTTAGTATTAGATATACCAGTAATGTAGAGTGATGTGCAAAACTTTGTGCGTTGTAGCGTAAAAAGAGTAGTGTGCAAAATGGGCGTCAGTAGTGCAACAGGTTAGAGCACGCGTTTCTGATTAGAGTGAGATGTGGGTTCGAGTCCCGCCTGGTGCAAAAGTTTTGCACATCATTCTACATCACTGGGTATATCTAAAACATTATAGCACCACTAAAATTGGTCAAACAAAGAGAATTTTATTTAATTCAGTACTAATGAATTACTCCGCGCTAAGCATCAAAAAAGATAATAACAACCAGTTGATCTGTCCAATGCGCCATTGTGAGGAAGGGAAACATAGAAGTGGAATTCAATGGTCGGCAGCTGAACCACTTTTTGTTGATGGTGTCGTCTATGTACTATTATGCATTGTCCACGCGTAACGAGTGAAAGTTGAAACCAGTCTATGACTGATTCTCAGCAAAACGATAAACGGATCTATTTGTAACACCCCATTAACTAGAAAGAATATCTCATTCTACTGCAGATATGTGAATTTGAGCCAAGCATTCAACTTTACGAAAGACTGGGCTCCACATATGAGCAAGTCTAGTAGCTTAGAAAATTATGAAAACTTCAAAGGGGTACTGAAAAGCACAGCAAACACAGAGCTCTTCTTGTCAACGTGAAAGCCCTCACTACTCGTAGTACACACTAGAATCCGTGAACTCATCACGCAAATGAGAGCGAGAAAAAAAGAGGGAGGAAGAGAGAAGGAGAGAGGAAGGGAGGGAGGAGAGAGTTTAAAATTGAAAAGTCATGAATCTTTACGACAGCTGCCAGACAGACTCATGAAAGGTCCATTTCGTTTGTTTTAAAATATTTCATGAAACTTGCAATATATCAGGATGACACCGTTTTTTATGTTCAATAAATCAGAGTAATTTTGAAACCATAATCATCCACAATTGCAAAACAATATGCTTTCTATACAAAGTAAGCAATCTACCCCATAATTAACAAGTCAGGTTGAAAAACCATTCATTCGCCGATGCTGAAGAAAGCTCACGAAAGAATCCACAGATCCAAAAAGAAAATTACCTCATTGATGAGTGGGAGCAGCGTTTTTGACAACACATTCATCACGAACTAGTACAAGTAATCACACAAGATTTACAGAATTTCAGAACAACAAATTTGTGATAAGATCCTGCGACGTCAACGTCCATTATAATAACCTGTCGAATGACTGCAATGCAAGCCATTCGCGAGCATCTTGTCCAACACCATCAAGCATTAAACATGTACGGCTTGTCGACTCAATAGCTCATGGCTTTTCTCAATGAGTGCTTGAACTGGTCAATCTTCAGATAGACCGGAAAACATTGCGCACAAAAGAGAGGGTTGGCAATGGGACAGCGGCTGGCACCAATTTTGCTATCGTCTTCATTGTCGAAAATGGAAATCCTGGTAATTGACCTCCGGTCATTACTCTATTGAAGGTATATGGATGATTGCTGGGTTATCTGTTCCACCCAAGAAGAGATGGATGCTATTCTGCGTTGTTGAATGAACAGTTCGAGTTGAATGAACAGTACAATAGGAAGAAAGCGAAAGTAACCTGGTTACTACTCTGGAACGTTCAACTCAATTTGCTCAAATGGCAGAGGAATACAAGTTCATTGCCTCTCCTCTCATCCCTCGCATACAAAAAGGTCGCATGTGAAAAACACGTTCTAAACAGCAGTCAGTAATTGTTCATAAGGAGAAGCGAAATTACAATACCTAGATCTGGCTCAAGAGCTCATCTGTGAGAGAAAAAAATCCTCAAATCCCTCAAATTGATCAATGCGCTGTTTCTAACGCTTCTACAGTCAGACACTAAGAAGAAAAAGCCCACATTGAATTTCTTCTAATTGTCTAAAGAAATGTGAAAAAAGTTGGAAATATCGCTATCCCATCGATGTGGCATTCGTATTGAAAAGTAGGGACATGACTCATAAAAGCGGTGAGTATGTGAAAACTTGTTTCGTGTTTGATGCGATTGAAATCTAGGTTTGGTGATATTCCATTAATGTGATGGAGGTATTTGTATGACTAAGTTGTAGACATCCTGAACTTTTCAGGCTTTGCAGAAGGTGAAATCGCGGGAACGTCAGCTGTTCGAATAGATTATTTAATAACAACGTTGTGTTTGGATACAAAAACGAAGTTACGACTTATTGAACAATGGTGAAGTTAATATATGCTAGATTTTAGATCTTCAGTATTCTATGCTAATAAAGACATCTCAATAAATATTTGGCCGGTGTCGTAAGAAAAAGGCCGTAGATGGCTTACTGGATTATTGTAAGGCACACATCTATTAATAATTAATAAACAGAAGATCTCCTAAGCTCACAGCTTATCGAAAAAAGAAGCCATTCTAAGCGCATGTGCAAAAACAGCACAAAGTTTTGCGTCGGTGAACACAGACAAAAGACACGACAGAAACGGGCATCAAAACCAGTGCTGTATGGTAGTGACTGAGTAGAGAGACAAGAGGACATTTAGCTTAACTCACGTAAGGCCATGAACAACTTATTGAGCCCATAGAAAACCATAGATTGTTCTAAATGTTTCTCAGTAGCAATTTATTCCTCAAAGCATTCTGAAGAAATCGAGTTACTTTATTTTCTGCTCAATTCTTTTTTAACGCCAGTACATGAGGCGAAGTATCACCACAAAATGCTGGGATATGGGCAAAACTTGTAAACTGATCAATGCGGAGCGCTTCGACGTGGAGAAGCAAACGGGCGTCCTCCCTAGATAGGGTAGCTATGGTTCTAGTTTACCCAGATACATTAGGTCCCAAGTTTTTCCTTATTTCAGAATTCTTGTGGTTTTACTTCACCACGTTGAAAGAGATGATAAGTTGAGTCTACTCGCCTCTCTTGGAACTAACAGAGTATTTACACTCCAGCATTAGAATGTTGAAGCATCGTACTCGTTTTTACAACGATTTAGAAGAAGTCAGCATTATTTAATTGCTAGAACATGTGTTTTTGAAATAAACGTGGAGAACAGCATGAAGGAGGAGACAGACAAAGAAGGAGAGCGGCAAGGGCCTCATTTGTGCCTAGCAAAGAGATCACCAACCAGATGACGGACCACGAACTGGGTGCTGACCTTTTCGAGTAAACAGTCCGCCTAGCGCTCTTCTACGTAGATGATGAGACGTGTGCTGATACTTTGACCACGTCAAGACTACTGCGCACGACTTACAGGTTGCAACGTTATATTCTGGATTTCAGTCGGCACTCATAAAGTCTAGCCGGCTTGCGCGGCTCAGATCTTCAAAGCGTTTCTCACCATTGTGATTTAGAAGAACATATATCGGTAGCGAAATATAAGTGGCCGGTCATGCAGTAAGAAGGACACACGACAAATGAGTGGAAGGAACTGTGGAATGAAGTCCACTCCACGAGGATGCATATGTTCTCGAGGACGACAATCTACACGTTGACAGGACATGTTAGTGGGATTATTCAGCTGTCCTCACAGCTGACTGACTTCCTCTAGGCATTAAGCACTCTACAGAAAAACGACATACCTGATGCTCCGACTTTTTCACGAAATGCCGAGAAGAAGGATATGATGATCAGCGAATACTCACAGAGAGGAGAATCCACTGCTCGCAAGAGGGAAAAAATGAAAGTTCTACTGGTGCTAGGTCAAACCACTCGACGATCAGCGGATCCACAGATGTTACATGTGATGCTCGCAGCTGCTGACGATCTAACGTCCAGACGATGTAAAACTTGCAGCATCCACCAGCCTCGAAGTAAGCCAGCGCCACGGCTGACTGAATTAAGAATAGGTTAATTAAAATTTTGCTGGGGTTCGCGCAACTCGTGAAGACAGGCCGTCCAAGTATTCCCAAGTGTGTAATTGCTACAAAACTCATCCAGAGCATAAATACCAAATGAAACCAATACAAAATAAATTTTCATCCAAATTAATTCACTATAAACGGCCAAGCGACAATTGAAATTGCATGGAATAATGTTTCGACTATGTTTTTAATTCTTGATAACACTTTCAATTTTGTAGCAATAGCGTTCAATCGACTTTGCTGAGACCTCGCTGAAAAATCTCTTATGGTCTGATAGAATGTTGCAAGCGTTTCAATGGTCTGATATGGCATCTGCAGTGATAGACGCGCTTCGGCTTTCTCGCCAGCTTCATCAATACCACGTGCCAATCGGTTGCTCGTTCCTACTATTACTAGAAATCAACGCCGAAGAAGTATCGCTCCATGTCAAGTGAGAGGGTCACTTGATGATGCATTGTAGCACCGAGAGAAGAAGCAAGAACCCAGAAACGAACGTATACCACCGAGGATGACGAAGACGATAAGCAGTAGGGCATGTGTACTGATGAGCGTGCGAGAACGCCGAAACGTACGTCCACCACGTGAGAAGATGCCATATCGAACTTCTGAAAAGCTCAAAAGATTCTATCAGACTTTCTATTTCAAACCATATCTCAGACTTCTGATAGGACAAGGTCGAAAGGAATCTGCTTCAACTACTCTTTTAGCAGCCTATGACATTATAACTACATATCTAATGATTTGAGTGATTTACAAAACGTTCTACACGCCAAGATATCGAAAATAAGGTGGACCCGGACACGTGATGCGACTTCAACGACAACCGATGGACGAGAGCCGTTACCGACTGGATTCCTCGGGACATCAAGCGCTCCAAAGAAAGACCACCGACCCGTTGGTCCGATTTCTTCACGAAAGCGATAGAAGAAAGATATGATGCTCAGCGAATCCCTAGAGGGAGGAGGGGCCACTGGGCTACTCTTGCACACCATAGGGAAAAATGGAAGAGTTGACTGGTACCCGCTCGAGTCACTCGACGATCAACGGGACGACAGGTGAACAGGTGATACAAAACTTTGGACCTCGGGGCGAACTCAAACTCGCGTCTCACTCTTTCGCAGGTGCACATCTAACAACTGTGTTTCCGAGGCTTCTCTTCCGCTATCACTCTTTCTGCGATACAGAAAAGTGTTTTGATGAGAGTCTCTTAAGAAATCCTTTGGTATTTTCTGAGATCACCTCACCAAAAAAATCTAATATTTTATAAAATAATATTTCAGTTCTGTAATATCATTTGATGTG